CTTCAACAATATTCGGTTCATTATCACAGCACCTACAACAATATTATATTCATTGTCACAAACCTACAACAATATTCGATTCATTATCACAACACCTACAACAATATTCTGTTCATTGTCACAAAACCTACAACAATATTCGATTCATTATCACAACACCTACAACAATATTCTACTCAATCTCATTCAATATTTTAAAAAGCATGCTTCACGAGCAGATTCATTTTACTAAATACAACGTGTCTCATCGTTCTAATGATGTATATTATAAGTAACTTGGAGAGTGCTAATCAGAAATAATGCAAAATGTAACCTTTGCTTATGAAAAATATTCACTTTGCATTACCGTTATCTTTGGCATAAAACTTTTAAGTAATTATCTCATTTTGCTGTAATTAATTTTATATAAAAAATGAACTAACTAATTTTAAAATGTAGTGTGATTTAAGGTACACGTTTTGTCCCCTGGATAGACGTATCAAATGTGTTTTGTTTTAATTCTTGTACGGTGCTTAGTTAGGAAACATAAGCCTCAAATGTGTTCTGTTGCAAAGTATAATATTGTGCTTTATGGGAAGACAAAGAAATAGAAAATTCCTTTCATAGAACCAAAGTTTAAACACAGTTCACTGGTGCATCTTTGGCAACAATACTTTAATGAAAGATTGAAAGACGCAAAATGCCTATTTTAACAATAAAAATCACAACTAGTTATTCGAGCTATGTCTTTTGCGAGAATCAAACCCATAATTCTACCTTTATAAGTCCTCATTCTTACCACTAATTCAGCGGAGGACACTACCAAATATATGTGATATTTGCTTTGTGCTACACGGTAATTCTTTGTCTTCTGTAATTACATACGAAAAAAAAAAAAAACGTTTTCATTTGCTCATAGTTAATTTATATCATTTAATCTTTAGGCCTTAATTTGATCACGTTTTGTTAATTTTCGTTAATTGACTTCAGGAGAAAAATTCAGATGCGCCAGACAAATGCGTTGGTGATTAATTTGATAATATTCCATTTTATATTAAGTCGAGTAAACAAAACACTGTTTTGTTTTTCTTGTAACTTACTGTGACGGAGAAGATTCACATTTATATACTCTATGTTAAAATAAGACGCAAAAATCATATAAATAGATATTTTTGTCTCTAAAGGAACACTACAATATTGATTACCCTTACAGTGGACAACTTTAAGCTCTCATTTAGTTCAACCGTTGAATGTTAAGTGTATATCAGGTTGGGTTTGATTAACAACACCTGTCAACTGTTCGATAAATTAGGTACTTTTAACTGTTTATCAAAAGTTAGTTACAAACTTATAAGTTGAATGAGTTTGCGTAAGTACTTTCTTTGTATACCAGGAAACAAAGGAACAAAAAAAGACTACAATTTGGGAAATGTTTACAAAAGACTAAATAAAGCTACTATTACTAACAGACGAGTTAATATTTTACACATTGTCTGTCGTGTGTTAATTAAGCATAATGTTCCTAATCCCTGTTAAACTTATATAATGCTGCCGGTTTACTGAGCTTAAAAGATTTTAAATATCACACTGTTAACATTGTTTTCCCCAATGTAGTATTTATAAATCAATAGTGAACATCTTTTCATTGCCTACCTACAATAATGAAAAAAACTCCCGCGAAAGTAAGGTATTTTCATCATAAATTTGTACTTCGTTTTGAGTATATTATTCTAAACACCATTTTTTTTTTCACATATTATTATGTTAGATGATATTTCGTGTGAACTTCATACAATTAGTATCTATTCTCAACCATAATTACTTCTACAACCAGCAACAAACAATACAGAATTACGAGGTAATTTCTAGCTTTTAAACACCTACATTTTATAGCTGTTAAAAGTTTCTTAACAATTATCGTCCAATCATTTAGTTTTGCTGAGTTGTCTGGGCGATGGTTATTAAATTATATTTCAGATAAACCGTATTGATGGTTAGATAACTATTAGTTTCATTAAAATTTAGAAAATGTCTTACATTATCTTTATTCTCCGAATTATTAGAACATATACAATCACAGTTATGACACGATGAAACTTGTTAGAACACGCAAAACCATAGTCATGACACGATGAAACTTGTTAGAACATATATACAACCATACTCATGACACGAGGAAACTTGTTAGAACACGAAAAACCATACTCATGACATGAGGAAACTTGTTAGAACACGCAAAACAATAGTCATGACACAATGAAACTTGTTAGAACATACATACAACCATACTCATGGCACAATGAAACTTGTTAGAACATACATACAACCATACTCATGGCACGAGGAAATTTGTTAGAACATACATACAGCCATACTCATGACACGATGAAACTTGTTAGAACACGCAAAACCATAGTCATGACACGATGAAACTTGTTAGAACACGCAAAACCATAGTCATGATACGATGAATTTTGTTAAAACACGCAAAACCATAGTCATGACCCAATGAAACTTGTTAGAACATACATACAACCATACTCATGACACGAGGAAACTTGTTAGAACACACAAAACCATAGTCATGACACGGTGAAACTTATTAGAACATACGTACA